TTAAACTTCTGCAGTTCCTTATGTATGTACTATTCTAGGCATTTTTGGATGATCTTCAGCAGTATTTTTCTTGATGTGATATTAATGATATTACTTGATAGTTTCCACACTCTGTTGGATCACCCTTCTTGGGAATGGGAAAAAATATGGACGTCTTCCAATCCATTGGCCAGACAGTTGTCCTCCAAATTTCCTGGCTTAGGCTGTTGAGTGCTGTACCTGTTAATTGAAACAAGTCAATTTGTAGCCCATTGATTGCTGCGGCCTTATTTTTTGCCAGTGTCTTCAATGCAGCTTCTACTTCCTCCTTCATTACCTTTGGCTCCTGATCATATGGTACTCCTGAAATTTTTTTCATTATCAGCAAATTCTTTCTGGTGCAGTTATTCTGTGTATTCTTTCCATCTTTTTTTATGATTCCTGGGTCATTTATTATATTGCCCATAGCATCTTTTTATTTTGCAACTTGAGGCTGAAATATGTTTTTCAGTCCTCTCAGCTTGAGAAATGCAGAATGAGTGTTTCCCTTTTTCAGTCGCCAATTCCAGCTCTCTGCATATTCCATAACAATACTTTGATCTGTCTTCTCAAACTATCCTTTGAAATTTTCTGTTCAGCTATTACTTGGCATATTTTCCCTTTGTTTTGGCTTCTCAACACTCTAGTGAAGAGTGTCTCATTTTATGAAACATCCAGTCTCATAGAAATATAGCTTCCCAACTGACAGTCTTCGTGAACTATTATTGACAACCTTGCAACACTGACATTAAATTTGGAACTATAAATTTTTGAGTGGCTCAAAATACAAACAAGATGGAAATTCTGAAACTTTTCTGTATACTTATATGTAGCCAGACTAAGTGATTGTGGGCTCTTTCAAGGAGTTTAGTTTTCAGAGTTTCTTCTGACATTCATTTTGGTTTCTTCTCTGTCTTCTCTTTTTATAATGATGGTTTGCTCTCTTCATGGGTGATATCCTTGATATCATCCCACAATGTATCTGATCTTCTATCATTGTTGTTCAATTCACAGAGCTTCAAAACAATTCTTAAGATGATTTTGAAATTTAGATGGAATAGATTCAAGATCATATTTTGGTTCGTGTTTTAATTTCCTTTGGCCTCAATTTGAACTTTCACATGATTAATTGGCAGTCTGACCCACAGTCTACACCTGGCCTAGTTTTGACTGCTGATGTTGAGCTTTGCCCCAAGTTCCTTCCATAGATGTATTTAATCTGGTTTCTACGCAGCCTGTCAGGTGAGATCCATGGGTAAGTCACTTTTTGTGCTTTTTTTTTTAAAAAAAAGATACTTGTGATGAATGAATAATTGAAAATTAAAAATTTGATCATTCTTTTTGCAGCCTCATTTTGATAATCAAGCTCATATTTTCTGACTACTATTCCTTCTTCATTATTTTGAACTTTTTCATTCCAGTCACCAATTATCAATTACACATGTTGATCCCACTTTCAGTCACCTATGGACTTGTAAAAAAAGATTTGGTAAACATTTTCAGCGTTTTTCTCTTTGGTTTTAGATGTAGGAGAATATATTTGAATAATTGTATACTTGTATGCATATCGATAATATCCTATAACTCACAACATTGTAATTTAGGATAAAACTTGACATTGACTTTTTGATCATGAATGCAACAACATTCTTCTGTTTTTCATTTGCAGCATAGTATATCATGTGATTATCCAATTCAAAGTGTCCAAAGCTACTCCATCACATCTCACAATGCCTAGAATGCCAATGTTCATGAATTCCATTTCATTGTTCACAATTTTTAGTTTTGTAACATTTAAAGCACATACATTCTACGTTCTAATTATTAAAGGATATTTGTCATTAGTTTTCTTCATTTTGACTGATTTCTAAGTTCCTCTACTTTTCATAGGGTTTTCAAGAGGCCTGATATTTAACAGTCAATTGTGGGATCTTTTGTAATTAATTAACAATACATTATGGGCTTGGGAGCCTCTTCTTTAAACCAGTTAAGATCCAGTGACTGGTCCTTTGCAATTAACAGTTGGTTGAGTCCTAGGTCATGCCTGTTGTGAAAATTGAGGAACAAACTAAATCATCAGTTTGTTGGAAGAACAATTGTTTTATTTGGTACAGAACTTGTCTATCAGTTGCTATACTGAGATAACTTGTGAGTTGCTGTGATACTGACAGCTATGCCACTACTCTGTCAAATGCAATAATGGTTATCTATGGTGGAAAGTTTTTAGTAGATCTCCCAGGTTCGGACAGACTAGGAAGCAAAGTTGGCAATCCATTTCTTAAATAACAGGCTTCTGATAATGCTTTAAACAGTTGTTGTATAATGTCAAGTTGGAACTGACACATTGCTGACCCTCCAGCCAGTTTTTAGAAGCAGTTAATCACATGGGAGGATCTTGTCCATCCTTCTCTTTCAGAGCAGCTGGTGAATTAGAACCGCATGTCTTTGGGATTGCAGTGCAAGTTCTTGTCACTAGGCCACCGGAGCTCCCAGTAGAACCTGTAATTTATAGCCTATGAAAACTTACTAGAGGTTCACCTATATATTGGTTACTACTCAATGACACCCAACAATAAGAAGCCACCAGAGCAACGTAATACGGTATGAGTGAATAGATAAAAAGATGATGACCTAGATGGATAAATGGGTACATAGCTGGATGAAACAACATATACTCATAAGAATGAATTACTAGCTAATTATTCAACAATCTTCCCACAGTAGCAGGGTACCACTTTCTCTCACTGTGCAACAATCTTATTGGCCCTAGGAGCTCAGCTTATTCTCTGGTGGCCTAGTAGCAAGAAGTTGCACTGCACTCTCAAAGGTAAACAGTTAGAGGCCACCAGTTGCTCTGAGGGAACAATATGGGCAATCTCCTATTGTGCCATTAACTGCCTCTGAAAATCCACTGGAGAGTTGGCTATAGGTTGATTCCGACTCTATGGTACACAACAACAACACGGTGAAAATGCTGAGTAGTAATTCTACTCACCAAGAAAATATTTCCAAAAACTTCAGAGTCTATTTTCTTAAAAGACGGAAACTAGGCAGGGTCACAGTTAAGCTCCAATCACGTAGCCAAAGCACCAATGTTGGCAAGGTGGAAATTTTCCCAAGATAGGCCAAGCCCAAGTGCTGATTGAGAATCAGTTCTTCTGCTGCCAGCAGGAAGTCCGTTAAATATATCTTTGTAGGTAACTAAAAGGTGATGCTGAGCCCATTAGTGAGCTTTGTAACACTGTGAATAGTACTTAGTGCTAAAATGTTTCTCACCCACCTCTCAGATGGTCCCAGCAGGAAGCAAGTCTGTAGCTGTCATGTTTATAGCTAATTAATGTTTATTTATATTTTTTTAAACAAGCCTTTCACCTGCCATACTTTAAAATAATTTTTGTGCTCTTCAATTAGAGGTTTCCAGTGCAGAGGAATCCTGTTTCTTCTGAGTTGAGAATGTGTGTATGTTTAATTGTGTATCATTTAAGGAGTTATTTCCCTGTAAGTCTCTCTCACCTCCTAGTGGCTAAGAGAAACACTCCTACTAGAGGACACATCTCTCTTAGTTCTTTATCATAAGATTAATGGCCTCTGATGAAAGTCATGAGCTTGCCTCCAGTTAGGACACAGCAAGCATCTCTTGAATGTTATGGGTTGGCATGAAAATACTGACCATTTTTTAACACCTGTGTAGAATTAGAATTCTTAAGAGTGTTGCATACTTTGTTCTATGTGCAAATAGTGCAAAGTTGGTTCAGACTGTGCAAAGCTTGACTATTTCAAAGACAGACTTATCTTTGATTAGGTCCTGGGAGATAAGAGCTAAATGTTTATAATAACATACAGAGAAAGAATGTCTGTTTATCTTTGCTAACAATGTGATTTATGGTGGAAGTCTTGGGCAAAGAGTTATCTGTTTGACCGGTGGAGGGGTAGAACACTGAGTAACTAAGATCTGTCACACAATATGCCCCATGTGAATTATTTCTAACCAAAATCTTGTATACAAAGTTTGGGGTGAGCTTCCCAGATTAGCAATACTTTGTATACAATACCACACATTGTTCATAATGTTTCTAGGATAATTTAGTACTGACCAAACAACTCCACTCCAAGAGGACAGCTATCTATCTGGCCCCTCTTATATCCTATCTTTTGGATCTTTAACCCTTGCTAAATTAATCCCCATTATTTTACCCAAATGAGAGCATAATTTTGAACATAAGAAATTTTTTTATAAATCTGAGGACCATCTTTGATAGACCCTGCAGGGCTGACTCAGCCACACGACTACTTTCTCACCCAAGAGACATCAGAAAAGAGCAAGCAAGAGAATGCAAGTTATCTTTTATGAACAGAGCCACAGCAAAAGCAGCTCAAGCAGAGGATCAGAAATCCAATATGAGAAGGAACTGACCTCGAGACCATTATCCAGTTCAGAATCAGCTAAAAGCCTTTGCCCAAGTTTATTGGACAACTGGAAGAATAGAGGAGAGGGTGCACTGAAGAGAACGAATATCAGCATGTCTAAGAACTTGGTAACACGGGCCTAAAGTCATGAGGCTCAAGTGCAGGCGCATTTCAGAAGTATTTCCAGCTGCATTCTGCTACTAATCTGTATTATAAACTTTTGACTTCTTCAATCTGTTTCTATATAGTGAAGCAGTAAGGTTGGTATTAGGATAAGTAGAAAGAGGTGCTAAAGCATGAGGGGACATGTCAGACCTCATGGGAACGGATTTTTTTTTATTGTTGATGTTGTTGACAGGGAGAGTTTCCCTTTCTGAAGTTGGTGAAGGTCAGATATGGCCATCCCCATGCTGCCCTTTCTCTTTTTACAATCTTTAAAGATCTTATTTCCAAATAAGGCCATATTCACAGATAAAAGGATAGAGGGCTTCAACATTTCCACTGAGGTAAAGAATTAAATATCATAACTTAAAAGCAGTGTTCCTCTAAAAAGGTAGAAGCAATTAGAAACTCACCATGGGACTTCTTCCAATGCTGTTTAGGTAGTAGAGGAGTCCTTTGGCGTGGTAAATTGTGGGTTGGAGATGAGCACTGGGGAAAAGCCATTGTCTGTTCAAATCTTCCCCTCTGAGTGAACATCTGTGACTAGACGCACAAATAATAAACAAAGATATATTTAGGAGAATGTCAATTTCCAAGACAAACAAACTAACGAGTCCATTTTCTGTATGACATCAAATTGACATCAATTGCAGATGCCTGGAAATAAGTAACTGTCCTGAACAGTCCACAATGCCATGATTGCTGCTAGTCCCCCAAACGACAGCAAAAATATTTGACTTAATATTTGGTTATCAGAGTTTAAGAATGAATTTTGGGAAATACAGGTCACAGCCATTTAGATCCAAATAGAGGAGGGGAAAGTCAATGAAATTCTCTAAATGTTCCACTAATTAAAAAAAAATTAAGTTGAAGTCAATGTCAATATATGATGCTTTCTGTTGAATCAAATATTGGCAGTTAATTCAGAAAAGCTGCAAGGTGGATAGGATATTATTATACCCATGTAAAAGAGGGGTGACTTACAAATGATTGGCCAATCACTAAGGTCACACAACCATGAAAGTAGACATTTCACAAGTCTATTTTCTTCAAATTTGTTCATTTTTTCCTGCGATCACAGTGGTTCCTCCATATTTATACAGACACTATAAAAGAGCTTGGCTCAGAAAACAACTAATTTCTTTCCAAGCACAACAACATGATATATCAGAGTTAGAAGTGGGCTCAAAATCCCCTATCCCATCATATGGAAATGGGAGTATTCACATTTTTGAGTGATTTCATAAAGAGACATAGCCAGTCAGTGAAATCCTTGACTGTAATTTAGAGAAGGAAAATGATGCTAAACACTCAAGAAGGCCAATACCTCCAGAGATGACAAGTATCACATATTCTGAAGGGTAGGGGCCATAGACATTCAGAAAAGTCCTGTTAAGATAGTATTTACTCAACAGTGTTAACTAACAAGATACTCCAGAATAAGGCTGAGATATTACAGCAGATCAAATTTTTCACAGCCGACTCTGAGAATTGACACCTGCTGTCTGTTGGCTGGGACAACCTCCCTTCTCACCCCTTTCCTCCTTTTCAACATTCAGGGCATCGATCCTGCAGAGAAACATTGCATGAATTATAACCAACTGTCACTAAGTCAAGTCTTACTAATAGAAATACCATGTATTATAGAGAACAACTAAATTTCAACTGTTTTTCTTTGTTATATATTTGGAAACTGTTTGCCAGGTCTTTTTTTTGTTAAAAGAAAATTATTGATTTTCAGGTAATCATTTATATACATCATGTTTTATACATGTGTTTTGTATTTCATACAATCATTCATATGCATTATATTTTTATATTTTACCATTGCTTTATTGCCTATTATCCACCCCATCTTTTCAAGCTCCTCACTGAAACTTTTTTATTACTTCTCCCTTCCAATCACTCATCTCTATTATCTCAGTTATTTTCCCCCTTTCCATTTCATCGCCCCTTTCTTTCCTTACTTGTCTGAACATTTACACTTATCTGTAAGGTCGGTGAGAGAGGACAGAACCCAGTGGAGGCCAAGAAAGACAGTTTATTGAGGAGAAACTGCCAGACTGGCTCTCAAGCAGAAGACCAGCCCCCACTAGAAGTTAGAGGAGGATTTTATATTTTCTTACAAGGGATAAGGGGAAGGGGATGCTTACAGATGCTTCCTTTAAGATAGGGAAGTGGGCAGAGTTTCATATAACTGTTTTTGTTGTTATGTGCCCTTGAGTTGCTTGCGTCAAGTCACTCATAGCAATCCTATGTACAACAGCCTTAAACTCTGCTCTGTCCTGTGCCAATCTCACTGTCTCTGACACACCCATCCCGATTACCCCAGTCACTGAATCAATCTACCTCATAGAGGGCCTTCCCCTCCTGCGCCTGCCCTCCACCCTCCCAAGCATGATATCCCTCTCCAAGGACCAGTCCCTCCTTACAACATGTCCAAAGTATGTTAGACGGAGCCTCAGAATCCTTGCCTCCAAGGAGCCATCCTGTTTAACCCTCTCTAGGATGAACCTGTTTGTCTTCTTAGCAGTCCGTGGTACATTCAATACTCTTCTCCAGCACCACAGCCTATTGCTGGGAAAAGGGGGGTAGGGTAGTTTCACAGAATGAAGAAGCACAGCTTCTGTTTGCTGTAGCCATTCTGGGAGAGGAAGTAAAGGGGTCTACAGTCCTAATAATAGCTTACTCATTTATCTTCTTATTTTCCCAATAGTGGCAATATACAATATTTGTCATTATGTGACTGATATATTTCACTCAGCATAATGCTTTCTAGTGTTTTCCCAAGTTATACAGTATTTTATGAAAGTATTACTCCTTAATGTTCCATATATTCCATTGTGTGAATGTACTAAAATTTCTCAATCCATTCATTTGCTGATGGACTTTTGGGCCACTCTACTTTCTTGCTATTATGTATAATGCTGCTATGAACATAGGTGTATATATGTCCATTCATGTCTCAGTTCTAAATTCCTTGGAATATATTCCTAGGAGTGGAATAGCTAGGTCATACGGGATTTCTATGTTCATATTTTTGAGAAAATACTAAACTGCCTTTCATGGGGGTTATGCCATTGTACATTTTACAATCCTACTAAGCAGTGCATAAGAAATGCACCCTCTCTTCATTTTTCATGTTCTCTCCAACATGTATTGTTTGCTATTTTGTTGAACTTAGCTTCTGCTACTGGAGTAAGTAAGGTGGTATCTCATTAGTATTGAGTTGCATCTCTCTGACCGGTAGTGATTTTGAACATTTCCTCATGTGTTTCTTAGCCATCCAAATGGTATATTTTGAGCTCATTTTGGTAGCCCATATGCTAAAATTGGAATGACATAGAAAACATTAGCATGGCCCCAGTGCAAGAATGACATGAATATCAGTTGCCCACTTTGAAACTGGGTTATCTGTCCTGTGGACTGTAGTATCATGCAAGGATTATGACACCCTTATCTAAAATGTCATTGCCAAATATTTTTTCCTCTGTGAGCTTTTTCAAATTCTACTGGAAACCATTTTTGTTGAACACAGAGATTTGATTTTAACAAAGTCCCATTCATCAGTCTTGTTTTTGCCAGGTTATGCATTATTGGCTATGTTCTCAAGTCTGTTTATGCAGTTGGCCAGGGTTCTAAATTTTGTTCCCATTTTTGTCTCATTATATTTATGGTCTCGGCTTTTATCCCTAGATCTCTGATCGACTTGAGTTAGATTTTGTATATGATGTGAGAAGTGGATTCTACAGACAGATGCTCAGTTTCGCCAGCATCATTTGTTAAAAAGGTTGTTGTTTATCTATTTAATATATTTTTTTTACTTTGTCAAATATCAGTTGATGAAAGGATAATGTGTTGATTTGCATATTCTGGATTCTGTCCCATTAATCTACATGTCTGTTGCAAAATCAATACCATGCTGTTTTGATTATTAAAGCTGTGTAGTAGGTTTTGAGATCAGGAAGTGAGATGTGTCCAAAATAATTTTTGCTTTTTAGAAAAGCTTTGCTTATTCTGAGTCTCTTTACTTTTCAAATGTATCTCAAAATTGTCGTTTCCATCTCCTTTAAGAAGGGTTATTATATGTACTGGAAATGCATTAAATTTGTAGATTGCTTTCTGTATGATTGCCCTTTTCTCTATGTTGAGTCTTCCTATTCATAAACAGGGAATACTTTCCTATTAGGTAGGCTTCTTATTCTTTCTTTTAATAGTGTTTTGCAGTTTTCCTTATAAAGGTATTTTGTATCTCTAGTTAGGATTATTCCCAAGGATTTTATCTTGTGGTTGGCTATTGTATGATATTGCTTTCTTAGTTTCCTTTTCTGTGTTTTCTTTTTTACTGTAAAGAAATCCCACTGACTTTTGTATATTGATCTTGTTTCCCACTACTCTGTTAAAATGGTCTACTTTTTGTTGAGTCTTTGGGATTTTCTGTGTACACTATCAACTCATCTTCATATAAGGACAGTTACATCTCTTTGCTTATTTGTATGCTTCTTATTTCCTTCTTTTGCCTTGTTGGCCTGGCTAGAATATCCAATACAATATTGAATAGGAATGTTGCAGAGAGTAGCCTTGTGCTAGGGTTTTGTTTATCTGCAAATGACTTAATTTCCCCTTTATATCTGATGGACAGCTTTGTTTGGTACTGGATTCTTGGCTGACAATTAGTTTTCTATTCATTTCTTGTACATACTGTTTTATTGTCTTCTTTTTCACAAGATTTCTGTTGAGAAGTTAGAGCTTAATCAAATTAATTCTCCCTTGCAGCTGACTCTTTGTTTTTCTCACACAGATTTTCCTATTTTATCATTGTCTTTCATTTGGAGAGTTTGATGATAATATGTCTTGATGGTTTTCTTTTGGCATCTAGTCTGTTCGGTGTTCACTGAGCTGCTAGGCTGTATATTTTCTCATTTTTCATGATACCTTGGAAGTTTTTCTCCTAGCAGCTTCATCACATTTTTCTTTTCTTGTCTACTCTCCTGTAACTCCAGTCATGCATGTGCTATTTCATTTGCTGTTTTCCCACATTTTTCTAATATTTTCTTCATTCTCCTTCTGTCTTTCTCCTGTTTTTACTTCTTGTAAATTCTCATTGAGGTTCTTGTCTTTTAACTCACTAATTCTTTATTTCACCTCTTCTATTTTACTTTTTTTTTTAATGAGGTTGCAAATTTCCTCCCTTTACCTTTTGACATTTGCTATTGTATTCCTTTGTTTTTCTGTTGTTTCTAGTACTGTGTTGTTGGTTTTATATTCTCTATCTTGTGATTTTTCCCCCCTTACTTGTTGCTCTGTACTTAGGCATCAACTCTTTCTTCTAACATTAGTAGCTTTTGTAGTATCAGTTCTTGGAACTCTACATCATCATACTTCTCCTGACTTCCTATCTCTGAGATATTTGTTGCATCCTGAGTCTGGTTTAATTTTTTTAGGAGAAACTTTGTTGTTTTTATCATAATGTTTGATCCCGGTTGCTCTTTTCTTGAAATTATGTGAGGTGGATAGGGGTTGATGTTCCCCCTGAACAGACA